GCAGCAGGGACAAGGGATGACGGCATTAATCTGGCCTCCCACCGGTGGTGCAGGGGTCCTGCTTCTCCACCTTGCCAACAGTGGAGGGTGGTGCAAACCATACCCAGGTGGGCAGATCGCAGACTGCACTGCTGCCTTATAGCACTGAGCCCAGCCCAGCCAGGGTCTTGCCCTCTCTGGTCTCCTGGGTCTGCCTTTAGACACAGAAGGACTTTAAGCCTTCATACATCTCTCTCTGCTTGCTTTTCCTCTTTTTGCCCCCGAGGCTGGTTGACTCCTGGCGGGGTCAGATCTCAGCAGGGTTCTCCCACAGTGACTCCGCCTGCCTACCAAGGGCTGTGCATCCACTCCCTGCTTCCCACACCCTGCAGCCTTACCCGGTGACTTCAGCATTCTGTTTTCCTGCTTCTGGTCTTAACTGTACTAACTTCAGACGCTCTGCTGCTCACTCTGGACCTTTCGGCCCCTCCCTTCCCCTCCACAGGCCGAAGTTCAACCCAACTCCTCTGTCCCTTTTCCTGGGAGCCCGTCTCCTGTCCAACCAAACACACACAGCCACCAGTGGGAGAGCCTGAGAGCCCAGCCAACAGTTGCTGATGCACCTGCACAGTCAGGAAGGCACCAGAGACAGACTGCTCCAAACCTGAAACTTCGGCACAGAGCCTAGCAGAGCCTGAAAACCCAGAGGCAATGTGGTGTATTGTTAGACCATGGACTCCCGAGGCTAAAGCTTATTTAGATGCACTACTTAGCTGTGTGGCCTCGGGCAAGTCGCTCAACCCCTCTGTGCCTCCTGTTCTCCTCTGAAAAACAGCAATAATAGTGCCCACTATATAACATCTGGTAAAAGAATCAGATGAGCTGGTATATGTACAGTGTTCAGAACAGCCATATACTTACTGAGCGCTATCTATGTTGGCCATCATCATTATTAGTACTTGAAACTGGGACTGTCCCAGGAAATAGCACATGGCGGTCACAGTCATTGAAATAATAACAGTTTCAGAAAGTTTAGTTTCATTTATGCAACTAGTTCAGGTCAGTTCAGTTGAGTTGCTCAGTCATGTCCGACTCTTTGCGACCCCATGAACCGCAGCACGCCAGGCCTCCCTGTCCATCACCAACTCCCGGAGTCCACCCAAACCCATGTCCATCGAGTCGGTGATACATGAAAAGTATGAAAAGGCAAAAAGATAGGACACTGAAAGATGAACTCCCCAGGTCAGTAGGTGCCCCATATGCTACTGGAGAGAAGTGGAGAAACAACTCCAGAAAGAACGAAGGGATGGCACCAAAGCAAAAAACGCAACTAGTATTTTCTTCTATTTCTTCTCTCCTTCTCAACGTTCATCCAATCTTTATATGATCCTTACTCTTCTGAAACAGCCCAGAAAACCTCCCATTCCTCTCCATCAAACCCAATATTTAACTCTGGCCATCAAAACATTTATAGCTGCCTTATTCCTGCCTCATGTCTCTCACTTCTTTCTTTCTACAGACCATTCTGCTTTTAGCAGCTAATAAATCCCAGGCTTTTGGTATCTGGGAAGTTGCTTTGAACTTTCTGATAGTGTTAAGCTGACACTGGCAGGACACAGGCTAAGGAACAAGGTGGCCCTTCCTTCCACAGGCAGAATGTTGCTTTGATTCTGAACTTTCTTAGCATCCTACACTGGCCGAAATCCCTAGGCCCAGAGCTACACTGTAACTGTTCTCATCTGTTTGGTCAAAAATCCCAGAAAAGCTATTTTCTCATTTCCCCTGGTGACTTCTAAGTGGATGACTTCACCTGAGATAGTAATCCATTCTGTACCAGGCTCTGTATCTATATAAAGCAAAAGGTAAAAAGATGCTGACTCAGCAGTGATGATGCTGGTCTCAGGTAACTGCAGGTATTAGATAATGTCGCCCATTTGATTTGAGATAAGTCTGGATTATGCTTGTGAAGGAGAATCAGGCTGTTTGGTAGAATGCATTCTTCTACCAAACACCTCCGTGATATTTTTTGAAGAATTCAAGGAGATATTTAGATACAACTGTGACACCTGGCTTCCCAGGTGGTGCTGGTGGTAAAGAACCTGTCTGCAGTGCAGGGAACCCAAGAGATGCAGGTTTGATCCTTGGGTCGGGAAGATCACCTGGACAAAACTGAAGCGACTTAGCATGCGTGCAGGTGACACTTGGACACCATTAGCTCAAAAGGATACGTTGTTGCTTAGTTGCTAGTTGTGCCCAATTCTCTGCAACCCCATAGATTGTAGCCACCAGGCTCCTCTGTCCATGGAATTCTCCAGGCAAGAGTACTGGCGTGGATTGCCATTTCCTTCTCCAGGGATTCCTCCCAACCCAGGAATTGAACCCGGGTCTCCTGCACTGGCAGGCAGAATCTTTACTGCTGAGCCACAGGGAAGCCCCTCAAAAGGATGTATATCTTACTTAATTTTACAATGCATATTCAGTCCTTAATTAAGAACAGCCTTTCCCTTGGCTAATCTCAAAGTAATAAGCTTTGATTATCCAGCTGCTTGCAAGTGGGCATTTTTGCATTTTCAGGCAATGAGAATGGAGACAGAGCCCAGTGAGTGTGTGGGATGACCCAGACAATCCCCGTACTCCCCTCAAATACAACTTTTCACCTTGTGCTTCTTCTGACATCCTAACATCACCTGCCTTCAGGAGCTCATGGGTTTTAGCGATCAGTCTCACACCCACTCTAGGATGATTTCAGTATTTCTCAACAACCACCGAGTTCCCAATTTATGCTGACCCCTTACAAGATTTGAGGAAATCAGAGATGAACAAAAGGGAATCTTCTTTTCCCTGGAGGTGCTCACAGCCTGGAGAGAGGCCTGGATGTGATTCTGAGTGGTTAGCTGGGTGAGCAGAAGTTTAGGTCTATCGGGGCAGAACAGGCAGGCTGCCACGGAGGGGCAGGGAGACAGACACCAGTAAGGAGGCAACGCTCAGTCTGAGCCTTTTAAGGCTACACAGGCATCCACCTTGTAGGGAAAAAAAAAGGAACCTGTCATCGCTCGTAGCCAAAGCCACAGAGGCCTGGAACACACGCTCCGCTTCGTGTGACAGGGGCTGTGGTGGGGGAGCAGGAGGGATGGAAGGAGATGCTGCGGAAAGGAGGCCGCAGGGAGTGGCCAGGGGCCATGAGTGAGGAGCCACCTCTGAGAAGGGAAGGGTCACCGGTCACATGCAGACCCCGGGGGAGACCTTCCACTGAGTCTCTTCACCCGTCCTTCGGCAGCTCCTCAACTGCAGACACTTTATTCCATCATTTTCAGGTGCTCAAGAAAACTACTCAGCTAAGGTTAAATATCACTCTCAGGAGCCTGTTTGAGGCAAGTGTGGTAGCAGAGAGAGTTAAGCGGGCAAGGATAGCTGTGCCCTGCTGCCACCGGTGCTGACGGATGCCGGTCAGGGAAAGGAATGTGGTCCAGAGGCTTTAGCACGGGGCATGGTCGATTCCCTCCCTGGCTGGAGAGGAAGGACCCTGGAGTCCCAGTCAGGAAAGCTGACTGGCGGTGGGTCTCACCTTTCTCCTCTCAGTTCCTTCATCTGCACCTCCAGCACAGCTATCCACGCAGTACAGTTTGAGCATCATCTCTAAGCTCCCTTCCTGCTCCAAATGGGGAAGGGTGTGGCTCAGACAGTAAAGAATCCGCCTGCAATGCGGGAGACCTGGGTTTGATCCCTGGGTTGGGAAGATTCCCAGAGGAGGGCGTGGCAACCCACTCCAGGATTCTTGCCTGGAGAATCCCCATGGACAGAGGAGCCTGGTGGGCTAAGTCCGTGGGGTCCCAAAGAGTTGGACACAACTGAGCGACTAAGCACACAGCACATCTGCTCCAAAACAGTGCATTAAAAACACAGTGTCCCCCAAACTCATGTTGAACATGAACCTCAATTTCAACCAAATATCTCTCCAGTTGGAATGGTCGGCCTTTCCAGTCTCCACCTCGGACCCTGGAGAAACCATGGGGAGAACACCCAGGGAGAGGGAGATTGGTAGGGTGGGGTGGTTGTATGCTGACTACTAATCTCCAGGAGGTTACTTCTCTGTTAGGTAGTGTCTGATGCCCCTCCGCACATCCTATTTAAAGAACCTCAGCTTGAGAACCTCCCGTGTGGGTTCAATACTGTTCTACAATAGCAGGAGGAGGTGTCCACTGACAGGAACCACCGGCTCCTAGTTTATTTACCCAACAGCGAATCCACACAAGGGTAAGAAGTAATGGGGAGAGACTGTGCTGGTTGCAGCAACTGTCAATTGCTGCTCTTAGCTCAACCTTATGAGATTTAATACTTTGTCTTTTCTGATACCTTTGATTCACTACAACCACATAACTTTTTAAAAACAAAGCTTCATTAGTCACAATCAACGCAAAGAAAATCTCTCCCTAAGTAACAAGATCAAAGGAAAGCTGATGAAAGACCTTACAAGTTGGAATGGATGCCTGGGGATTCCTCAGACAATTTCCTGCTTCCTTTTTTTTTTTTTTTTTTTAAACTTATGGTGTTTCTTTAGTCTACTTTCCAGTCCTAAATTTCCATAGCCCAGTGCTTCCAGGACTTTTGGGAAGCAGCAGACTTCTCAGCCCACATTACTAAAAGTTAGTTCATGATTTCTCTGTTTCAGCTGATTGAAACGGGCTTCTGCAGGAACTGCCAGAGAGTTGATCATTTTCTTAATATGCCCATTAAAGCCGGTAAATGACTGGGACCGGTAAATTACATCTTAGAAAACAAAGACTGCGGGAAGCTTAAATTCAAGGAGCGAATTGCAGCTGGATCAGCCGGCGGCGAAGGAAGCCAAGTCCCTCCTCCCTCCTTCCCCCCACAAAAAGACGGCTAGACTTTTCTCCACTTTTTCACAGGAAGACTTAGGTTTTTCTAAGTGTTACGCTCCCCGGCAGAGTTCTGTAGCCTCGGGTAGCAGACAAGCCTTCCTCATCCCCCTCGCCGGGAGTGGAAAGCCGAGGGGTGCTTACCCTGCGCCGGGCGGGTGGGGAGGGACGCGAGGACCACGGCGAGGAAAAGGGCGGCGCGCGGGGCCTCGGGGGGCGCGCGCCCCGGCATGGTGATGCTGCTGCGCGCAGTTTCAGTCCCGCTGAAACGTGAACATTTCCTGTTTCCTGCTTGTTTGGGTCGGTGCTAACTTGAAGGAGAGGTGTTTGCCTGTTTTTTAGGAAGTGATGTAATTCTGCAGGAGCCTGTCAGACCAGCAAGAATTGCAGAAGAGAAGTTGCTCTTCAAGCACTGATTCAGTTAACACGCCTCTCAAGGCCTTTCCCCACCCCGGCCCGCGTGGGCCGCCACTTTTGACATCGCCCCCGTGGGAGCAGAGTCGGGCGCTCAGATGTCACTCAAGATCTGGGGCTGGGGGCGTGGACCACACGACTTCTCGGTGTGTGACTTTTCTCCATCCCCAGGTCAGCGTCCCGTTCTGCCTAGAGTCTAGAGCAGCGCTCTCCAGCAGAACTTTCTGAGGTGATGGGAATGTTCTGAATCTGTGTGGTCCAGTACAGTAGCCATTAGCTACACAGGTTGCTAAGCACTCGAAATAGGGCTGGCGAGAACCTAATTGTCAGTTTTTACTTTTATTAATGTAAATTTAAGTAACTCGGTGGCTAGTGGCTACCACATGGGACCCCAGACAGCAGGGACACCTGTGCCATCAGGAACTGTGCCCAGCCAGGAACAGGCCAACCATTCTCTTGGGTCAGGCACACCCTTCTCCCTGGGTCCTGGGTCCGCATGCCCCACCCCCCATAGCTCATCAGAAGGAAAAGGCATACTATACCCAAGCTCTACCCATGCCTAAAGGGCATGCTCTGCTTCTCCAGAGAGAAATTATCTTTTCATGTTTGGTTTTTTCTTTATAAAGACTATTTTTTTTAGAGCAGTTTTAAGTCCACAGCAAAGTTAAGAGGAAAGGACAGAGATTATCCCTAAACCCCAAGTCCCAACACCTGCAACGCCTCCTCCACTATCAATACCCCTGCAGAGTGGTACATTTGTTTCAACTGATAAATTTACATTGACACATCATAACCACACCAAGCCCCATTGTTCACTTTAGGGTTCACTCTCAGCGCCATATATTCTATTGATTTGGACAGATATATAATAATGACATGTATTATCATTATAGTATCATATTGGGTAGTTTCTCTGCCCTAAAAATCTCTGTGCTCCACTCATCCCTCCCAACCCCTGATAACTTCTGATCTTTTTATTGTTGGCATAGTTTTGCCTTTCCCAAAATGACAGATAGTTGGACTCACAAAGTATATAGCCTTTTCAGATTGGCTTCTTTCATTTAGTAATATGCATTTAAGCTTCCTCCATATCTGTTCACTACTTGATAACTCATTTCCTTTTAGTGCTGAATACTATTCCATTGGCTGCATGTACTGCACTTTATTCATCCATTTATCTACTAAAAGGACCTGGAGGAGGGCATGGCAGCCCACTCCAGTATTCTTGCCTGAAGAACCCTATGGGCAGAGGAGGCTGGCAGGCTACAGCCCACAGGGTCGCACAGTCAGGCACGACTGAAGTGACTTAGCACGCATACACACACTACTGAAGGATATCGAGGTTGCTTCCAAGTTTTGGCAGTTAGGCATAAGGCTGCTAGAAACATCCCTGTGCAGCTGTTTGCATGGACATCAATTTTCAACTCCTTTGGGAGAATACCAAACAGCTTGATTGCTGGATTGATAGTCAAAGAGAAACAGTCTTTTAAAGGGCCCATTTCCAAAGTAGAATGTGCTCTCAGGAGGGGAAAAATCTGGATTTTACCTTTCCTCCTACTTGAATGACAATTTTCTTAGATGTCGTTAACAGCAAACTCTTGGGGATGTAATTTCCTTGGTTCTGTCTTGCCACAGCAAAGAGTTGAAATGGTGGACTAGTGTTACAGCTGAGTTTTATCTGGCAAACAAAAGATAGTACACCCTTGAGGTGTGAGGGTCAGCTGACCCCAAAGGAGAGGCCTCAGCCCATTTGGCTCCCTCTTTTTACATGCTTTGTCTAGCACTCCCTACGCAAAGCAGGGCCAGCCAGGAAGGGGGTGTGGTTTTTCACCCGGGGGTCTCACTCTTCAGGTGTGAGGTGGGTTTTTCCTTTATTCCCTTTTCAGGGGCTTTTCCCTTTCTTTGTCTTTTAGCCACCGCCATTTTGCACTCCTTTCTCCTATTCTAACTACCTAACAGAACAAGATAGACTGAGTTGGATTAGAAGGGGGGTGGAAAGCCTACCTGAATGAAAAAATGCAGGAAGGACACGACAGTTTACGCTAGTGTTGAGAGCCATCAGAGTCGGCTAGGTGTTGTGTGTTCTACTGAAGTCCTTTCTTTGGTTTAGGCCTAGGGTCTAAGCACTGCAGAATGGAATTCCACATAAATATTGGGTATTTTATTCCACAAATATCCTAAGGCTGTTTTTGAGAAATAAAGTTCATAGAACAACAACAGAAAAAGAAAGGAATTTCATCATCATGTTTGCTGTGATCCAAGAGAGACAGGCAGACACCCACCTTATCTCCAAACCTTGGCCTGCAGCTCCCTGTGAGTCACCCGCGTCCGGTCCGCACCGTCCGCAGTGGCTGGGTCGGTGTGGGTGCACACGGTGACTGGCTTCCCAGCCGGACGTGGCCGCTCTTGTTAAGTGCATTGCTGCTCTTCCCTGTCCATGGTCACTGTTTATCTCAGTTCTTATCCACACAAATAGGTCGATGATTCATGTAAAAATCAGTGTGTTAATGGATTGACAGCATGCATCTTCATTTTTTTTTTTTTTTTTTTTTTGCATCTTCATATTTTTAACCGGCAGTTAAGTCAATTCCTGATAAAACATGCTTTTGTGCTTTAGGTAACAATTTAGAACAAACAGCAGAAGAAAAGTGTTCAAAGCTGGATGATCGACTTGAAAACAACAGGCAAGGACCTATTAATCAAAATCTTGACTGCTGGCTCTGAGCTCCTCTAGCACTGAGTCTGAGGGCAATTATTCCTGTGCGAGCAGGCATTTTTCCCGCTGCACTGCATATGTGCCAGAGAAAAGGCCCAGGGCCTGAAAGTCCTCTTCATTTTGCCATTTACACTCTATTAAAACCATCTTGGATCCCAGGCTTGAGGCATGTGGTTGGCAAGGTGTAAGCCTTGGTTTCTTTGATTTTAAGATGTGTCTGGCAGGAAGGTCTGCAGAGGCAGGTGTCTGTCTGCAGCTAGAGCACAGACTCTATTCTGCAGCGTGAACACCGCCTGTGAGTGTCTCACAGTTTCTCCAAGGGTCCCCCGTGTTGCTTCTGAGCAGGCAGCACTGTATCACTCAGAATGATGTGCAAAATAAGCTGCAGAGAAGCCCTGTGCCACTCTGCAATTTTCTTTTGACCCCTGCGCTCCCTAAGACCCTCAGAGTGATTAAGCTGATCTTAAGGGGGAGAAAATTACCATCATTGATCAGAAAATTGCAGCAACTCAGTGATCTCTTCGCTGCAGTTAAATCCCAGGGTGACTGCGTGCAAGGTAAAGGGCTATTTACCTCTGTTGGTTCAAATTTTACCAACCATTCATTTTGGCAGTGGCCACCTGGCCTCAGATTAAATCCTGACACGCTCCTGGCAGGAAGTCAGGGTCCCAGTCACAGGCAGGCGGGAGGCAGCAGGGAGCCTCAGAGCTAGGCCTGCAGGCAGGGGTGGGGTCAGCATTCCCGCTGTCAGCTTTTTGGTGGGGGTGCGGGGGAGGGAGGAGAGATAAGGAGGTAGTGTGCCTGGAAGATGCCCTGTGCCTCGTTATGCTCAGGAGGGCAGGAAGAGAAGCCCATTACTGGTTGGAGGCACTCTTTATGACTTTGCACAAGAGTCTGACTTTCACAATCAACTCTGCAGTACCGAGGTGGCTCTCATCTAATTCCTCCTCCCCTCCCTCTTGCCCCACCCCTCCAGCCAGAAAAGAGGAGGGACTTCAAGGGAACATCCCAGAAGGGATAATCTTGCAGGAACTGCAAGGCTCCCCACCCCCATTTTCCCCTCCATCCCCCAGCTTCACCGTCTCCAACACACAGACACACGCCATACATGTGCTTAACAAACTCATGCACTGTGGAAAATACAAGAAGGCCGACCAGAGAACAAGCAGAGGACGTTTACGGAGAGCTTGCGACGCCAGGGAGCCAGCCTCCGTCTCCTGCAGCAGGCAGAGGCTCGAAGTCTAGTAGAGCAGTGGGAAAGCACTACATGGGAAAAATAAGGGCTGCAGAACCCCGATGGGAGCCATTGGTGTGGGGTACCAGAAGCCAGTTCTACTGATGGGTTCCAGCGATTGCTTAGAGATACATGTCTGGCTACTCCTAAATCAGAAGCAGAGGAAAAATTAGAGCCCGTGTTACAGGGATTAGTGCTCAGCTTCTTGGATTGCTGCTGCAGGTAGGGTCTGAGTTCTGTTTTCATGTAATATGTATATATATATATGTATATATATCTCCCCTAGCCATGGTCTGTATACTCCCAACACCCACCCACAGACACACGCACATACTGATAAGTGTACATGCATGCTCACACGCACGCACACACTGACATGCTTGCACACACTTTCTGGGGCACCCCTCTTTCTCTCAGTGCTAGCTGGTGGTAGTTAGGGGTGTGCACTCTGCTTCAAAAGGAGGCGGGCCCTCACACAATGTAAGAGTCACATCAGGTGGGGCCTGCAGATCACTCTGAAGCCTGCTGAGCGGGTGGTGCAGGTTAAGGTGGGAGGTTCTAAAGAAGCACCCAGAGAGTCAAACGGGCAGGGGCTAGGGCTGGAGCTGGGGTGGAAGCCCAGGTCGTGCCGGGAATCCCAGCCAGGAGAGCGGCTGACAGCAGTTCCACTGTGTCTTAGCACCAGCCGCCATGCACAATGCCACAGACAGACACCTGTTTTCTGAGAGTTCAGAGGCTCGAATGCTGAGATCGGGGTGCCAGCAGGTGGGATCCTGGGGAAGACCCTCTTCCCGGTTTGTAGATGGCCACCTTCTTGCTGTGTCCCCGCATGGCACAGAGACAGAGCCAGCCCTCTGGCATCTCTTCT